AAATGTATTACCTCAAAAGTGAATATTTGTGGTGTATTTTAAGTCTAAAAGGACCGGAAGTGGAAATTTGTTAGTACTCTAAATATCCAAACATATTTTAGTATAAGGTAGTAACTAAAGTTGTTTTGTAACATTGCTAGTAAATGTTTACAAGTTACTCCAAATATTATCAAAGTTAAAATCAAAGAGTTGTTAATATTATATACCAGGCAGCGGTCTTAACTGTCGCCACACCAAATCCAAAAGAGACGACTAGAAAACATGGCTGGTAGCTGGAATAGTACCTGTATTTATTAGAGAAGACGATTTTCATCAAATGAGTTACGAAGATTTTACGAACAGGTTGACTAAGAACTAAGATTATAGATTGTAGACGAAGACGGTCAGTGCAAGGACTTGCCTCCAAACGATCGCTTCAGACAATTAGTACTAGAGAATATGCGTTTAAATACAACCGGTTCTACAGCGAAAGCAACGATTTTTACCAAACCACTGAGAAATCCGTCTCGGGTGTATGGGTGGGCAGTGGTAGCAAACAGAGATTATAATACCAGTATTAAACATGTATTATAAATCCACTAATGTCCTGGCGTGCACCAACAGTAAATAATGACGCACGATCCACTCCAAGGATCTACATTTACTGGTAACTGGACATGAATGAATGAATGAATGAATGAATTATAAAATACTAGTACCCATGTTAAAATAATACATAGAACATCTACAAACAATTGAATTATTTTGTACTCTACTTTCATTGACCCTAGTATACAAGTGCAACCAAACTACATGCTCAGGAAACTGCATTCATAAATCTGAGTAAACCTTGATGTAACTTTAATAACAACTTGACTTCTTTGTCAATTCAGGTCTTTGTCTATTACCAGGACCTGGGTTTGTTTCGTTATCACCACTATAATTCCCATCAAAATGTAGCCCTGACACCCCTCAACATTTCCTGCTGCGGCTGGTTCACTGATTCAGATCAAGGTCATGAGCATGCTCAGTTGCTCTGTCAGTGTAGTAGAGAGAGGTAATTTTGGATGAAAATCTTGAAAAAAATCATGTGCATACTCGGCAGAGACTTGTTCATCAACCTGCCAAGTATCTTCGATATCTGCTGCATAATTTCTGAGGAAATGTTGGAGACGGAAAATGGACATTGACAAAACCTGTTTTAGAAAGTCCCCTTTTCAGGCTGCGACTGAACGGGGACTAAAAAATACCGTGATCACAGTTGTTAGTATAATTTGCATTCTCGATCATTTCGCTGAGGGCGTGCTCTCACTTGAACCGAATCGGCGACTAAACAAGATGGCGACTAATTTTGAGGTAAATGTCTGACATTCTTCCTTGCTTGCTGAATTTGACAGTGGTCTTCTTACACAATAACTAACGATCGATGTTGTTTTAACTGTTCTCTAAATGCTTCGTTTATCGAATCATTATACCCAGCGTCACTCTTCTTGTATATGCCTGTCTAATTCATAGATATCTCGACTTGTTGAGTGGTACTGAAATCGAATGTATTGTTTACTTTTTTTTTTCAACTTCCGTTGTCAGTAATCTTAAACGCCGGAGCTCTTTCGTCGCTGTTAAACATTTTTTGCATTGGTATCTCTATCTGTATTTTGCCTCAAAATCGTATTTCAAGTTCTATGACGCACATTTTGTCTAGACGGCACATACTTGTTAACTGAAAGTGTTTTGACCCAGATCAAATCAAGATTACTAGTACACCAAATGAAAACGTCTCGATACTAGACGGATGTGTCTCAGCCAACTACTCCATGATAGTTGAACTGTACTTTGGATGACCATCTTGAAAAAAAACTTCCCCCGAGATGTTGCAAACTATATCGTCACTAATGTTGGCTATTTTTCAATAAACAAATACCCTTTCCATTGGGTGGGTAGGGGGCATCAAAGGAATTTTTTGAAAAATTTACAGATTTTGTAATCTGGGTGAAGAAAAAATTGTATTGTGCATTGTAGTCTCAACTTGTCATATTTGCAGCTTTTTAGTGTCCGTTCAGGCGCAGCCTGAAAAGGGGACTTATAATTCAGGTTATGTCAAATGTCCATTTTCCGGTTTCCGTTTTCCATATTCCATTTTCCGTCTCCAACATTTTCTCAGAAATTCTACAACACATATCAGTGAAACTTGGCAGGTTGATGAACAAGTCTCTGCTGAGTATGCACGTAATTTTTTTTCCAGATCTGAAAATCCCAAGTGGGTCTTTTTCACGATTTTCATCAAAAATTACCTCTCCCGGCAACATTTACAGAACGTCTGCGCATGCTCAGAATAAATTAATTACTGTAAAATACTTTATTTTTGCTTGCAAAATTTTTTTGCTATTTTCGCTGAAGGAATTTTTCAGTTAAAATAAAATCCAGCGAATATACCCTTTTCTTATATTTTACAGTCAACTTGTCAAAAATCAATAAAAATAAATTCAATACAAAACACCCAGAAAAAGTCTTTTCAGCGAATGATAATTCCAGCTGAAATAAAATATTTTACAGTAGATTAGATCTGTGAGTAACGCTGTGATTTCTCCATTGCGTGCAATTTATTATAGTACTGTTTATACATGTATTCTGTTCGGCTCAGTGGTCTCATTCACTAGTTACTAGAAGAACTAGTAACTTTATTTGATTTCAAGAACTTCAAGAAGGCGGCATAAGAGACGTGTTTGCAAAGGTAAGTTCTCCAGTTTCAGCAAAATTGAATGTATATTGGGGAACGATTGGTGTACATTCCGTGACGTACGGACACGAATATTATGATGATTGCCAGCTTTATATTCTTGTGAAAAGTCAAAAAAGCAAACAATTGTCTCCAATCTATTAAACTAGTTCGTAAATTGTATACCCTGTCAAATTATTGTACATGGGGACATAGTTTTCAAGTAAAACGTTATCCGATTATTTGCTTGTGTCGCGATTTCCGAAATATCCACAACTCGGGGGGTGGGGGTGGGGGAGAATGTCCTTGTGTCGATCAATTTATTCATTATATAATAGTAGGTTGCCTAAGATTATATTCGTATTTTTATGTTGTGAGCATTAAACTGTTAGTTGTAATGAAGATTTTGCCGATCTCCTGCGATTCAACATGGCGGATGTACAGTGACAACACGTGTATGGACGGTCGGTCGAGTAGTCTGCAACGGACCATAAAATCGCCCTGCGTTTTTTCTGCAGTTTTCATTCTCTCCTGACGCCTAAAAGAGTCTAATTTATATATTACCGTAGTCATTGACACCTATCCAAGAGTATGATGTTTATTGTGAATAGCCTGAATGGGTAAGCTTCGTTTCGACAATGAGCTGTTATTTCTGTGAACAATGTTAAATTATTCTTTGAATGCTCAGTTTATTTTTGAAAACAACTAATTGTTTGATTTAAAAAAAAAATCATGTCGTTTTCCCCGTCAAAATCAAAGCATAAAGATCTTGCTACAACATCGGTGAATCTCTACAGTACCGCGTTGCGTTCACCTCAAGGTCACTGAACCGTCATTATCATATTTAAATGAGCCACGTGTATTGAAAACTTGGCGGATATCGTATCACATCGAGCATTTACGTTCGACCGAAATCATTTGTTTACGATGAAACTAAGTTGAATATTACTTTCAATTCATAAAAATTCAACGAATTACATTTTTGTGCGTTATTATAATCATTACTGAATAATAATCAACAATTTCAATACTTCGAAAACAAGTAAGTTATTCACTTGCAAAACACAGAATGACCGGATTGTGCTACCGTGATCATTTGCTACCGGTACGGTACTATCCACTAAGCAATGTATTTGTGTTTGTATTTATTCAAAACTTATTTTAGAACATACTTTACTTTTCGTTATCAACAAAATTATAAAAAAATAATGCATATTACATTACATGTATGTGAATTTTTTGGGGGGGATTCAATTCCAACATTTCGCGATGTCTATGAACCAAAGGCCTTTCACTCTTCTCTGAGTGTGACACCTAAACCAGAGGTTTTATGGTGTATAAACTGGCACTAAATGAAAAGGCTGTTAAACCTTATTCAAATACATGTTATTATGTATTTCATTATGAGAACTGACTAAATTAAATGTGATCTTATTTTTAATTGTTTGAACAGAATGATTTATATCGGTAATGACGTTTTCATTCAATATTAATTGTGCAATTGTTAAAATGCCTACCTACACATTTATTGTTTTTGTTTCTGTTGCTCTGAAATAGACATTAAATTAAAAAATCATTCAAAAAAAAAAAGATGTAGCCATGTAGCCCCTTTCTGTTATCTGTTTCCAACGTCTTCCAAAGTAAAACTGGCAAAGGCATGTAATTGCCATACAATCATCAACTGTGGGAAAACTTGTATGTTATTGAAAATCTTTATTTTGTTGTTAGTGAATTAATATAATATTTGAAATGGCGTAATGGTGCAAAATATTCTCCAACAATCGGTCTTCTGGTGGCACTACACTGCGCATTTATGCACAGTCAGTATCCCAATGCGCGATCTCAGCTTACTAAGTGATGATGGTGGTTGAAATGGAAAACTGAATACAAAAATCCAGTAACATCTCAAACGAATTTCTGTCTGCTGTGAATGCATGTTTCATTACATCAAATAAATAACCCAATTTTATGATAGAAGCTTGCAATCTTGTGC